TGCCGTGAAAGGATAGAACGCACATGACTTATATGCAAACTTTATCTTTATGTAACTGTTCCATTGTTAAAACAGATGTAAGAGATCGGAAAGCATTGTTGGCATTGGCTGTCCCTGTGGGTGTCCCGATGTAGTTATTGATATGGACGGTTACCTAAGTGAATTTTTGGATCCCTGTACCAACAAACCTCGGGAAAGAGGAATTCTATGAGACATTTCTATGAGGACATTTTGTCTCGTTCCATCCACTTCTATTACATATGTAACTTGATATGTATAAACATGATTAAGGCTGATTAATTTTATAACAGAACATGGTAACCATGGCAATGTTACGGCTGTATGCCCTTGTCGTAACCCTGCTGAAAATGTCACGTGTAATGATTAAAGTAAACATAAACATATCGAATAAGATATGACAAAATTGTAATGATTTGCCTGTGATTTACGAAAAAACCATTTAGGACCATTAAATGGCTGTGCATGGACTAGGTTCATGATTCAGTAAAATCTATCAACAACTATCACTATTTCATACCGTTTACATACGCCGGTGACTTGACCTTCACTGTCCATACCTTATGTACTTTAACAGTCCCTTATACCGTAGACGTGACCTCTAGACCATGTCCTGATTTTTTAACTTTCATAATTTGGATGAGAGAGCATGACAAGGCAAGTTAATGTTGTTTTGATTAGGTAGGATTTTTGTCTACATGGGTTATGATGTGAGTTGCTGGTATCAACGACCGGTGACACATGTCGCTATCCTGTATCGATGCTTAGCCGAAGTTTATCACTTCAACAATATTAGAAACTGATGAGTAAGCGATGCGCAGCCTCCCTTTATCTCGGCAAGAGAAATAACAGAGAGAAGAACGATACCTCCTCCTTGTAACGGCAAAAGAAACATCTTGAGGACGGTAGTTGCTTAGGCTCCTCCTGTCTACTCTAAGCTGACTGGAACAACCTTAGTATTCCCTTCTTCCATTGGTCTTGCCTTGAAGAAGGTACTTAGCCTTGGCTTTTCCCTCTACAATAAGAGAACAGCTGACTATAAGGTATTTAACACTGCACTCTCGGGTACGTAGCATTATCCGTCCACAGCTGACGGAGGGTATGTGCAGTAGCATGTCCTTCCCATCCTAATACAATAGGAGAAACAGCTGCCTGGAAGGTACGTAGCCCTGGCCTCTCCCGGTTAAACAGCTGAGTGGTAGGTGTGTAGCCTGGTCGTCTGCCAGGTATCATTTGGTAAGATATCCATCTTTACAACAGCCCACCATGCGTCTCTACTATACATATATACTCGAGTCATGAAAGTCAAGTATTTAATTTAGTTTGTAAATATGATTTTTTATGTGACATCAATCTAAGTAAATTTGTCAGATTAAAGGTTTTCGTATAGAATGCTTTTAAGGCTAGTAGAAGGGATCGGATGCTTTATTACTGAGATACGAACACACAAATTCCAACATCGTGTCAACTGTACTGTGATTCAGCATTTGTTATAGGTCTGAAGCTGTTATTTTAGCTGGGTGTGTTATGGTTAGAGTGCTGGGCTCCAGGGGGAAAGCTGGACCATCTAGGTACCCACATTAGTGATAAGAGAATGACTGTTGTGTCACTTGTGTGACTCATATTTACCTGACCAACTGAACTGAACATGTTTACATTTAGATATAAATTTTCCCTTTTTCCTACATGTTCTCAGAGGACATTTTAATTTTTTTTATAAATGATCTGACACCAGGAAAATGTTGGAAGAAAATATCATCAAATTCTCTCGACTCAAAATATCTTCAACTTCCGAACAGTTTACCGCTATCAATATTGTTGAAGAACAAGTGTTGTGTTTTATTCGGTTTATGCAACAGCGTATTTTAGCTGCGTGTTAATGGGAACACCCTATTTAGATGTAAACGACACCTTCTTTCTACCTGGGAGATCAGAAACTCTCAGTTGAATGTTTACAGGGGATAAAGGAAAGTGGATACTTGTGTATGGGTTAAACAGACCACGCACGGTAAAATTACACAGTGATGTCTGGTCGTGTTGAATATGATATTATGTCAATTGACATACAAAACCACGCTCACAAAGTTCATTCACAATTTTATTGCTTGGGTGTGTACTACTTTTTGTTTCATTCAAAAGTTTGACGGACTGGTTTTTTAATCACAAAATTGCCGAATATACAAAACTATAATGGATTCCCTCTTATGTCAATAAACGGTGCACGCAATATTGGATATCACTATATATTTGATCATTTCAGCTCGAATGCAAATTGGTGACAACCATAAGCTTTCCTTACCGACTGTGGTGTAAAGGCAACACAATTTGTTTCTCTGTACTGTTTAATTTGAACTCCCTCCCATTCGCACAAGGAAGGTAATGTTCTGATTGGAAAGATATACATGTTCAAGTCTATCGATAATATACAAGCGTGTATGTAAACATCATCTGAATCACACGAACGCTTAGCCGCACGTTTCATTACATATTGTTTCAGCTCAATAAATCTAGGAAATCACTTTTCTGTAGTTTTGTTTTTCTTTTAAATTTTCCAATGAAGAGTATTAAGTATTTGAATATTAAAGGGATCAGTAATTTTCATGGAAATGGTGGCGTCAATACATTCTTATTGATCATATGTATTCGTTGAACAAATGTTCATATTGGTTGCATTTGTTTGGGATGATATGGTAGAAAATATTGATTTTAAGAAGACTCAGAATTGAATATGTCGCATCTGTTTGCTAATCTTGGTGTTCCACAAGACGTAAAACTAGAATTATCACCTAAAACCTTACGATTGAACCAAATGAATATCTTTTAATAATATTGTTTTTTAAAATTTCATAATCAATCAAATGTTTTAATGACTAAAGAGTTACAAAGGATTTTTATTATTCCATTTTACGCGTTTAGTGACATGCCGAGAAAAAAATTCCTTGTACCTAGTCATTACCACAAGTGTGTGAGTATCACCGCAATGGATTCGTCCATGAATAGATAATGTTACTGCTTTCCCCATACCTTGTACGGATCCTTCTACAGCAGTATATACCGTCCTGTAACCGACAGACATGGTAGTCAATTGGTTCCAGTGCCATAATTAACTTCGTACTTGTACCCGAGACTGTGAAACTGGTGTATTGGAGTCGAATAAGATTCCTTATCTAGATTGCTAGGTTGATAGACTCATTTACTCTTAATATATGTGTATTGTCGAACTTGACACACAGCGACAGAAGAGGGGACTTTTTTGTTATTTATTTAAATAGATATTTTAACATGTAACATTACCTGTACAAATTAATGGTACCTAATTTATTTTCTTTGTCAATCAAAAAGTCATTATTGAGAACTACACCATACAAAACACTAAACCTATATAATTTATATTCGAATTTATTATAAACCTGAATGAAAATCTCTTAAGAGGACACGAAACACGAATTCTTTTATATCCCAGGTCTGGTGCATTTTAACTGCATTAAAGGATAAAGTATAGCGCTTGTTTAGTGTTCGATCAGCTTAATGGCTGCCGTTTTTGCTTCGTTTTCAGTCCTATTCTTTTGTCCGTTTGGAGTCACATTCTTCTATAGCTTGGCTGTCGTGCATAGTGTGCATAATTCGATGAACTGGCAATGTTGTTGTTGGAGTGACGAATACTTTGTTATACCTGGCAGGTTTACGTGTAAATGATTTGTCAACAAACACAAGATAGCTAAGCATGTCAGAATAACGACCATCTTTCACACTTTTGAACAAGGACAACTTTCCCCGTAGATATATTTTCTTATAGCGATGACTCAACATCACTGTTACATAAACCATCCATCTTACTCGTTTGCTTCACAAATGCCGCCTACCTGATCTTTCACTATACATTTCCGTCCTTTTTCCCCTCATGTGCTCACGGGCAACGAGGAATACTGAAGTAGCAGACGACAGCTATCAATTATTGCCATTCATGTTTCAATTAGTGCTATATCGGTGAAAATGTTACACATTTGTCACATTTAAACAACGATGGTAGTTGGGGTACGAAATGGTTGCTGTGTTATCTATGAAGTTATATGGCGTCCAATTGAGATTTTATTCTTATAAAATAGTCTACCTTCCTCTGGAGTCATTGGTAACATGCTTTCTAGGTAAATCTCGATACGACACACACTTAAACAGACTTTGATTTAGACCATAATAATAAAATCCGACGATAGGACACTTGCAATAACTTTATCACTATGATTGTTTCTAAGGCACAGATAATACCATTTACCATAAAAAGCTACTGAACTGTAAATAATTATTCAATGAACTTTTTATAAAGATTTAAAATATATAGATTGGCAGATAGAGTTTACATTCTGAAATTCGTTCATAGATGTAAGGGTTGATACTCGGGGGTAGACCTGCAGGAGACATGGGACTTGATGTGTGCATGATTGTTACTATTTAAACACAACCTGGTAAATGCACACACATCGCCAATTACAGCGTAAATAAATAAATCTCATCTGATTGGGTTTTGATTTCACACGCGTCACCGATTTTGAAGTCACTTTAGTACGCATCAACGAATTTCATGTCACTCCTATTACCTGTATACCCACATTTACTTCTGATCAGAAATTGTAATGGTGTTATTGAGGATGGAACTGACGGGTAGGTAACTGATATACTGTTACACCATACTACAGAACACGTGATATATAGATCTAATCCAAATACTTATCAATCATTTCTATCGCATCAAATAAATGAATTATTATTTAAACCTGTGAATGTGACGATGTTTGTCAAAAGGAACAAAGTTTGATTTTGGAGACATAAGCAACATTTAGGGAGGAGTTCCTGAACGTTTTTTTCACATTTCTGTATCAAAGATTGCAGAAGAAGTGAAAAATGAAGAATATATTTGCTATATTTTCAGATCGCTAATGACGTCATTTAACTTAACGTTAATGTTCTTTGTATTTGTTTTGTAGCTTTGGACACTGACAATGTGACGGTAAAGAAACAGGTATTCGAACTCCTGTCCGCACTCTGTGTGTACTCCAAAGATGGGTACACACGGGCGCTGGAGGCGCTGGACAAGTATAAGGTAAGTTTCCAAAATAGGTCACTGCTAGCCACTTTTCATGCTTTAGATTAACAACGAGGAACAACAGAATGGAGCATAACTTAAACACATAACCCCAACGATGTTTCCTTCTATTCGTCTCAATAATACTTAATTTACAGACGGAATGATAATTCTACTTATTTTTAGAGATAACTTATAACAAGACTTGAGCTACCACTGAATTATTTAGCATTTAGTATTTAATATAGGTTTGGTTATGGAATAATGGAACTGCATCCAGCTCTGAGCGTATCGTCGCAACATAATGTACTATTATTACTAAACTAATTGTTTGTTCGCGAAATGAACTAGTGGTAGCTTAGCAGGTCTTAACGATACTATGGATACTATGATCTAGTTATGTTATTGTACTTAAAAGTCCCACAATCGCATCCACACCCAGTGAACTGAATGACTGCAAATCTCAAACGAATGGAGGACAGCCATTGAAATCATACATAATTCGTAAAAATTGGGAATAACATTAGATTGTCCGTTGTATTGTTATAACACACAGATTCAGCCTAATACACAAACTAAATAGCTGGGTCGTCTTTGTCACATGAAAAAGCACAAATAAAACCGGGATTACACGATACTGTTCCAAGTCACTTTGTCCTCACAAAAGGATGACTAAACTTGATCCTTAACTCGGTCTAAGGTCGACCGCTTACAACATTCACTTTAGGCCGCTTACAACGTTGAGAAATGGTTTGTGGGATTATGTGTATCTTTTTCTACCCCAGCGTTATCTGTTTTAGTAGGTCAATGTGATATTAGCATTTTGTAAATTCGAAAGACCAACAGAAAACTTTGATTTATGTAAAGAGTTTAGTGGAGGATAAACTTTCATCAACTGTTAAAAGGTTGAAGAAATATGACTTGAGCGACAGAAAATGGTTGTTATTGTTTAGTATAAAGATCGCAGGACCAATACATCGACTGCCCGACTGGCTTTGAAGTACGATAAAAAAACCTTATTATTGATATCAACGATCAAAACAGCAACAGACCAGCGTGTACTTGTTCGATGTCGTGGTCATATGCTAGTTTACTTAGGGTATGTGTTGGAAACAAAATATTGTAACTAATCGTCACAAAGAGACAGGTGAACATCGAGACCGCATCATTAACTTAATGATTTAACTCTTATGTGAGTTTGATTCATGTGACATTTAAATCCATATCATGACGTGTATGTTGTAAATTTTAAAATCATCATATTAGTTCTGGGTTCTCCCAATTCCTCTAACATGGGTGTCAATATTGACATTCACGATACGCTACACTTCTGTGTATTTTCCCACCCTTCTGATTAGCTGGCTAATCCTGTCATTGGCGGTCTAACGCCCCGACACCTTGACAGATAGGGACTTACACGTGTATGATCACGTAGGGCACCATTTACATACAGGAAGACTTACGTGTTACACACTCTGAACATCCTATATCGTTACTGTAAAAATCCCAAATTGCATTTCGCGGAAATTTATTATTTTTTTAATAATTTGTTCTTTGAATTGGAAAATGCTTGTTTATTTCATTTGAATTTCCTAACGGAATTGTAATCATTGTGAATTAATATTCTTTGAATTCTGATACATGTATGTTTAATTCTAACATGACGGATACTGAAATCCGGAAGAGATAATAGGGTTGTATATTGGCACTTTTCTATCTACCACAACTTTACTTTATGCATTTCTTATCAATGAAATGGGATTGTATCACCATCAGTTCTGAGCTAGATTGAGCTCTGCAGAATCATTTCGTTGTCCACGTTTTGGTGGTCTGATCGGATACTGGCCACCTGATCACGGAGGTCCACCCAGTGATTCCTGCATATCTAAACACACTCCGGTGTGGTATCTGTAAATTTAAGTCTTTAGCGTCAATGAGAATATTTAAATGTCGATGTTTTCTATTCGACGACAGACGATAACATGTAACATTACACGTCTGTGGTCAGAAGCAGCAAAGTTAACTTAAACTATCGGAGGTCGCCACGACACAAAGGATCCGAGTTAAGATGACTTAGATTATCCAAAATACAAACATCTTGTCGACTTCATTCCAAAATCTGATGTACTTGATTAAACTTCGACAAACTCCGTTGTCCGTCTTTTGGATCATAGGTCAGTGTATTCCGTATAACAAAAGTCGAGATGTGCCGATAAACGATAAAGACCGAGATGTTCTGATAGTAAATCCCTCGAGATGTCGATGCACATGATGATTTTCTTTCATATAACTTCTCGCACGTAGGTCTAAAATCCTGATACTAACCACACAGAGACTGAAAATTGGACAATTCTCAAAGCTTTTAATAGATATTTTACAGCGGTGTTGTGAACCTCTCTCTTGTTAAAGGATGTTGTGATAGTACCATTTCCGTTAAAAGATTTTAGATTGCAATCCTTAATAAACCTTTGATCCATTTGCAAAAAAAAATGGTGTTGATTAAATCAGCAAGAGGCTTTCAGGCTTTTTTGTGGTCACGTTAACAGTTTTGTGTATGATTTTACTTAATACGTATGACTTAAACTTTTCATCTAGGGAAATGCCAAAAAATGAAAGATCGTCATTGATTTTAGCAAATATTCGAATATGTATATGTCCTACAAATGAGGACCTGTACCTACGTCATAGCCAAAGTGTGTGTTGGTTGTCGCCATCAACACCATGGCCTCTCGTAAGTAGGACTAGGAATCAGGGTACACATTGAGTCAGAAACTGTGAAACTATCACAATTCATGTTTTACTGGAGTGTTTACAGTTGTTAAAATTTTCTCCATACTTAAACACTGATGTCCAATAGAGTTTTAGTGTTTGTTCAAAGTTTGTGGGACCTATTGAACCGTTAACCTGGACAAAAATAACTGGTCGCTTTCAGTGACACTTTGACTGGGGTGGTGTTAAGCCCCCACACAGCCTGACCTTAGTTCTAGTTAGTTCGATGTGGAAGTTGGCTAGCTTTTCAGGTATATCCTATGGTTTAGATGACTGAAATACCAAAATAGTGCAAAACGGTACTTGATTCCTTTCGCTAGATTAGTTCTGAATACAGATACCAATATATGCTTATGCTTAATGTTTAAATGTTAACATATACATCAATAGTTGATGTTTCTAATTAAATGATATTTTATGATTGAAAACACATCAAACGTTTATTAATCTATAGATACATCTGAGTCTTTTCATGGCGCTTAAACAAACCGGCAGATGTCCCCTGTGGGTGCCTAACTCTAAACAGTTCATGTGGGTGTAGCAGGAATGGTTTACCTGTTTTAATTAGTGGCACCGCATTTTTACGGTTACCACCACTCTGGCCCAGGACCTCCTTTGTGAGAAATATCATTACGGAAGTTACTATCACTTTATCCAATTCAAAAGGGCAAGCACCTTGTGACAATGGCCAGCTCACCTACTTGTAACACCCACAATACTACCAAAGCGACGGTTATATGACCGTTCGATCTCGTGTAATGGCTTCATTTTACCTCCGACAAGTTCAAAGGAGGCAGACAGACAAGAAAACCTTTATACAATATTCTGCTTGTGATGAATCCTTTCATTTGCTGGAAGTTATCTTTTTATTCTTCTTCATTCAGAGCTGCCATTATACTGCACTTCCCGGAACTAATGCGATGCATTATATTACGATCAAAGATATCTGAACGGTGAAACGCAATTGGAATCCGTCTATTTAGTATCTAATTAATATTTTATTACATGTTATTCTTAATCAAAGACTATAGCAAGGGACAGGTTATCCATTTTAACTTCATATCTGTGGCAGTTGCAAACGTAAAAAACATTATGGAGACGTATGGTTTCATGAATTTATTTTCCAATAGCTAATGTATTTTCAGACCGACTTTAAATGAGATGATAATGGCAACAGCAACGCAGAGGAAAACTCTAGTAAAGATTTTCTTCTGTATCATCGTATTGTAATTATGTAATTATAGACATTTTCCCAATGACTTGAATTGGACAGAAAGCACAAAATAGGGTAACATACCAGAATTAAATCCTTTTTACTCCCTTTGGTCAAGCATCAAAGTGTTTAAGGAAATATCTTTATTGTTTTAACATACATTCGATGCTTATAATGTGTTCCGAACATCTTTCAATAACCTTTTATTCATATTGTAAAACATTGCAGAAAAGGGTTGTGTAAGTCCTTATTTAAAAAACTTTTGAAGCGGTTATAATGTCAATGACTTTAGTTACTTGTCAGATTGCGGGACGTCACCTGGTCAGGTTTTAGCTACTGGGGACTGTCGCACAATGGCGGTGTTGGGGGACAATACAGAGAGACATAGCACGGAGCCATGGTTCTGGAGCGATAAATCATTCCATTGACACCTTCAGTAGGAATATCCTAACAGATATGATTCATAAGTACACACGTGCATATTTCAAAGTCAGATCTGTTAGCTAGATTAGAAGGAAAGACACAATGGTCTAATATAAAGCCCTTGGGTAAAGATGCATACATTCTGTGTTGGTGATAACACCTTATATACACGGACAAGCTAGTCTTGTTTCCCCTACATGATGTTATATAGATGTAAGTAGTTGTAAGTGTATGTCCAGTAATGAAATAATTATCTTCGGCATCCATACAGCACAACACTAATGAGTTCTTGAGTTATGTTGTCCCCTCACGATACGAAACTAGTGGAGCTAGTTTCAGTAGCCTTTACAAGGCACAAACACTAACAACGTTATAATTTTTTTTACCCCAAAACAGTACGAATTCAATAGTTAGTTCTCGTGGCCTCAATAGTATTCGAAATGAACATAGCTGATACCCATGGCATCCACACGAGTATTTCCGGCCACGTACGAATTACACGGAATCAGTCATTACAGCTCACAGAGCGACGATAAATCTTGTTTAAAAAGTCAAAATATTCAAATACGTGGTCTTAAATAAAAACGTTAGAAACCATGAATCACATTTTTTT